CCCCCCCCCCCCCAAGCTCTGGGCCCCTGCCACCAGGGAGCTGGCTCCAGCCCCAGGGGTCTGGTTTCTCTCTCCTCTCCCCCTGCCTCCCCCACTTATCGCTTGAGGCATTTGACTCCTGATTGAAGAGTCACCTGCGGTGCTCAGGGCAGAGGCGGCGGCAGAGCTGCGGGCAGGGTGGGGGGAAACATGCGTCATGGAAAAGGAACCGGGCAGCCAGGGCCGCAGCCCCAGCCCCCCTGGCCCAGTCCAGAGGCCTTTGCAGGGGTTCACTGCAGGGGAAAGAACCGGCCTGGCCCAGGTTTAGAAGGGCCTGGGGCTAAGAGAGAAGAGCTTTCATCACAGGAAAGCTGAGGAGCCGCCCGAGCCCCGGGACTAGGCCATGCCCGGCACTGACCTGGAAGATGTCGTTGGCGCACTTCCGGCAGAGGTTGTGCTGGCAGGGCAAGATGACCACCGGCTTGGTAAACATCTCCAGGCAAATGGGACAGATCAGCTGCTTCTCCAGGTTCTCTAGAGGGTTCCCATCCTGGATCAGGCTCGATTTATAATCCATACTGTCAGGCGGTGTGGGGCCCACCTGGCTGCCTCCTTTACTTGCCTCGCTCGCTCTAAGCAGACCTGGGGCCTTGCCTTTGTAACAAAACACCCGCCTGGAGCCTCTTGGCCTTCTCCTGGTGCCTGAATTCTGCCTTGGTCTGAGGCCCCTCTGATATTTATAGCTGAACCCTGGTCACATGAGCCCCAGGAGGGGACCAGCTGAGCATTCCGGTGCCAGCGCGGCTGGCGGGGCTTGAGTTTCCTGCGGGCCTACAAGAGCTGCCTCTCAAATCACATGTAGGGATGAGCAATCACTGTTCCCCTGGGGTGGGGGTCGTAAACAAGAACAGCTTGTTCGTGGGCAGACTTGGGGGAGGGCTGGGGACCCAGAGTTTCCTCCAAAAATTAGTCTCCTCCCACACCAGGCTGGTGAGCCAGGGATGGGACCCAGAGAATGGGCCACTGGGATTTTGGGGGTTAATAGCCAGTGACCCCTCACTGACCATAAGCAGGTCCCATCCCTCCTCTGGAGTCCTGGGCAGCTCCCAAGATTTGAGAGCAGGGCAGCCCCTCTCTCTGAACCCATCCAGACCTGAGCACCCACACCCACACTCCACCCCAGCTAGCCTGTCCCCCCATTCCTTAACCACTAATGTCACTTTAATGCTGAAAAGGGTCCCTTAAAATGTAGTCCGGTCCCCTCATTTTATAGATTTTGACTCTGGGGTCAAATAAGGGTCTTTTTCAAAGTCAAAGAAAGTAAGTGGCAAAGCCAGGAATCATATTTATTTATCAGATATTTTTCTAAGTACTGACTATCTGTCAGGCACCAAGTGACACACAGATGAGTAATCCTTTTCCCTGCCCTGAGATGCTCACAGCCTAGGCGGGGAAATGGGCAGAAATAATAAGCTCTACCTGGTCACACTTAGACGTTATCCACATGCCCTCCTCTGCTCTCTGCACTAATTTAAATTTTTCTCCATGTGCTTCTGGACATCTTCCATGTTGGCAGGTAGAAGTCACTAGAGCAGCTCTAAAGGCTGTTTTTAAGGTAGAATCTCATGCAAAGGGACATTAGGGTATAAGGTGCTGGGGTGAGAGTGGGAGCAGTAACATTAGGCCTCAGGATGTGCCTAAGTGGGTATGGGACATACATGAGTGTCCAGGATCTCATGAAAGAGATAGCAGAAGAGTAGGCTTGGCCTCCTCAGTCTGGAAAAGAGTTGATGGTTGGAGCCCAGAGACAAGAGCTAGTGAGTAGTGAGGGCAGAGGAGCCAACTTGGGAAGGGGAGGAAGTAAGGAGGAGGAGAGGGGGACCAGTCAGAGAAAGAGGAGGGGCCTGGAAGACAAAGGGCTGGGGGAATTCAAGGAGAGGGCGGTCCCCCAAAATGTTAATGGCTAGTTTTGCTGAGTACTTACTATGTGGCAGACACTGTGCTAAGAACTTTATATGTATCATTTCATTTCATGATCTCAACAACAATAAAACTTTTATATCCCTGAAAAGTGTTCCTGGACCCAATTCCAACATGGGGGGAACCAACAAGCAATTCTCAGACATCAGCAGGATGCCCAAGAATTCAACACAATTCTGATGTGATCTACCCAGAGATAGCATCAGATTCCACAGGTAAAGGGCTCAGCCCCACAAGACCACCCTCTACTTTAGATACAAGCCACGAGCCTAGGCTCTCACCTGTGCTTCTGACCAACTGGAGGTTCCCACCCCACCTCTCCACGAGTTCAATTAATTTGCTAGAGAGGCTCACAAAAATCAGAGGAAGATTTTACTTACTGGATCAAGGGTTTATTATAAAAGGATAAAATTCAGGAGCAGCCAGATGGAAGAGAGGCATGAGGCAAGGTATGTGGAGCTTCCATGCCCTCTCCAGGGGCACCGTTCTCCCAGGAGCTTCACGTGTTCATAAACCCAGAAGCTCTCCAAACCTCATCCTTTGGGTTTTTATGGAAGCTTTATTTCATAAGCATGATTGATTTTATCATTAACTATTGGTGATTGATTCAACCTCCAGCTCCTCTCCCCTGCAATGAGTGGTAGATAGATGGCACTTAAAGTTCCAACCCTCTAATCACCTGTTGGATTCTCCAGGCAACCAGCCCCAATCATTTGGTGCTTCCAAATCACCTCATTCACACAACAAAAGACACCTCCATCACTCCCAGCACTTAGGAAATTCTAAGCGTTTAGGGAGCTGTGAGCCAGAAACAGGGCAGAGGCCAAATATGTATTTCTTGTTATATATCACAATCCTCATTCCACATATGAGGAAACTCAGGCACAGAATGGTAAAATAACTTGTATGAGGTCACACAGCTTGCAAAGTGACTCTAGGACATGAATCCAGGTTTGCTTGACTCAGGAGCCCGAGTTCCTTAGGTCTCTATTGAACTGTACAGGTCAGCAGTGTCAGGCCAGCGGGGGCTGGAGGACGAGGGTTGAAAGGAGGCCATTCCTTCTTCCTGGCTCACATGACCTCAGTTTTGTTCAATCTTGCAATCAAGACAGGACAAGTCTGAGAAAGAAATCAGCTCCCTGAGAAGAACAAAGAGGGCCTAGGGAAAGCACTGGGGTCACTGTGCTGCCCAGGTTACCCACCCTGCAACTGCCCACTTCTTTACTATTTAAGATGTAACAACAAATGTCATCATAGTGTAATTATTCTGTTACTTGCAGCAGAGAGCACTCTATATACATTCCTGATTCCAACTACTGTCTGCTAATGATCCTCAAATCTCAAATTCTAGTTCACACTGTTCTCTCCCTTAAACTGAAGATTTGTTGGCGATCTCTACTGGGGTGCTCCACTAGCACCTCAAACTCATCGTATCCCAAACAGAACAGACCAACCCCCGCGACACCGAGCTTCTCCTTCCCTTTTCCTTGTTTCATGTCTCAGGAACAGCTCTACCATCCACCCATTTGCACAGACCAGGCAGCTGACAGTCATCCTTGGGCTCCCCCTTCCTCTACGGCACACCCAGTCAATCCCAGCATCAAGCATGGGCCCATCATTACATCTCATTTGTCATCCTCCCATCTGTGAGTCTGACTCTCCCTCTGCACGTTGAAGACTTCAAGGGCAGAGACTGGCTCTGTCCATCTCTTTACCTCCAGTGCCTGTACATAGCAGGCACTTAAAAAATGTTTATTTTCTTTTTCTTTTTTTAATATATCTTTATTGATTTCAAAGAAGAAGGGAGAGGAAGAGAGAGATCAATGATGAGAGAGTCATTGATCGGCTGCCTCCTGCACGCCTGATCGAGCCTGCACCCTGGGCATGTGCCCTGACTGGGAACTGAACTGAGATCTCTTGGATCCTAGATCGATGCTCAACCGCTGAGCCATGCCTGGCCGGGCAAAAATGTTTCTTAAATTAGTGAACAAGTGAGTGTGTGAATTAAACAAGAGAGCAGCAGGGTCACTGTGAGATTTGAGGGAGATCAAGGCACTTGACCAAGTTTTCCCCCCTGTTTTTTGTTTGTTTGTTGTCTGAGATGGTGCAGCCAGTGGAGAGAAAGCACTGGAAGATTGGGGAGGGGGTGATGAAGTAAATCCTGAAGCTTTGGGAATGGGAGGGACAATGTGACTGTTGAGATGGGAGGATAAGAGACAGGAAAAGATGGAGGTGAGGATCAGAGGTGTTGGGAAGCTGAGAGAAAGGTGCTCATGTTGATGACCTCAGTCAAGAGAGTTGAGGTCAACTTTTGAGGCAGAGGCAGGAAGAAGGGTAGCATGAGTGGGTGGCGGAGAAAGTTTGGACCAGACAGTGTGAAACACAGGAGGAAGTGCCCTAGAGAGGGGTGAAAGGACTGTCTGGGAGCAGAAGAGCCTCGCTGATGTTTCCTAACACGTATTTGCCATTTGGGAGGAGCCATTCACATGACTCTGTTGACTTTCTCCAGCCACACTTGGCAGTCTAGGTGCAAAAGCCAAGCAAATGGACAGTGGGATCGACTCCAGCCTGGGATTTGGCAAGACCAGCACCGTTGAAAGTCAAGGGGTGGGGAAGGGAAATTCCCACAGGGGCCATGCTGGGCATCAAAACACGTCCTGTCATTTAATCTTCACAACAGTCCTGCAAGAGAGGTATTATGATCGTTTTTCCCAGGGGGAAACGAGATTCAGAGAGTTAACAGCTTGGCCAAAGTCACAAGTGGCAGAGCTGAGCTGGGGTTCACATATAAGGCAGCCTGACTCCTAAATCTGTGCTCCTCACACTGAAACATTTACTGAGTGCTTATTGCGTGCCAGGCACTGTGCTAAGCCCTTTCCATTCATCCTCTTGTTCTGTCCTCAAAATAACTCAGTGAGACAGGGGTCATGATTTTCCCTGTTTTATAGCTGAGCTACAGAGGCTCAGAGAGGTTAAGTCACTTAGCCAAAGTCCCCCAGCCAGTGAGTGGCAGCACCAGCATCAGAAGCAGGAAGTTATAAACCAGTATCATTACCAGTTATTAGAACATTCTATCAAACTATGGACTGACAGATTAAGAGACAAATTCAGAATATCAGTGGTGTATCTGAGCCCAAAGCTTCTAACTACTACATTTTACTGCTTCCCTCTCTGCAAGTCTCATTTATTCACTTCACTGTTTCATGTAACCAAATCCAGCTTTCATCCTTAATGTTTCCTCAACCTTATTTCACCTATAATTCCTTCCATACACTTCTTTTTTCTGGAATATTTTAAAGCCAGTCTTAGTCATCAAGTCATTTCACCCATAAATACTTCAGTAAGCACTACTAACTGATAAGGGTTGCTTTTCATAATCACCATGCCATTATCATACCTAGCAAAACTAACAATGCTTACTCCCCCCTCCCAAGAGTTTATTTGAGCAAACTGACAACATATGCCAGGGAGCAAGACCTCAAATGCTCTGGAACATAAAAGTTTTGCAGTTTCTTTTTTTCTTTATATTTCTATTTTGTTGATTTTGAGAGAGAGAGACAGAGAGAAACACTGATTTGCCATTGCATTTATTCTTGAATGTGCCCTGGCTGGGAATGAAACCCTCAACCTTGGCATGTTGGGACAATGCTCTAACCAACTGAGCTACCTGGCCAGGACACAGTAATTTCTTAATATTGTCTAAATCCCAGACCATTTTCAGAGGTTGCT